CCCCTCTGAGGTTAGGCATAGCTGCCAAATTTGCCTAGGTTGAAGTTCAATCTATATTATACACTTTGCCATGTATTGAAATTATTTCAGTTTATCAAGATGGTGTTTACATTTTGGCCAGTTAAGTTGTGCTTATATCACTAAGCTTTTTAATCTATCATTATTCAATCATAGCAGCTAATAATAATTTCTGACAATAAAAGACCCAAAAATTGAATATTTCGAGTAATTTTTCTAATTCAAAACTGTAACTCAGCTTAATCATCTCAAGGAATTTCCTTAGAAGTTATAATGTGTCCCATCTATGATAAATAACAGAACTTCTCTCTATATCACATGAAATATTTGGGTACATATTCACTTGATCAATTTTATGGCTGGCAATTATTCTAGGAATAACTTATAAATATCTTTGAAACTTAAGAGTTGTAACGTATTCGTTTTCAAGAAGGCCTAGGAAACTTTAGGTACTTCGCTACAAAATATTCTATTTCTAACTTTTCCTCATTTACACCCCATTTGCTAAAGAGGTTCAAAAAATAAAATCAATTAAAATTTTACTATCAGATTAAGGCCAATACAAATCTGCTGATCATGTTGTTGGAATGGAAATAATGAAGTTGTCATATTTCTGCATATGGTTGGTAAAGATCAATGGTGATGATTTACTTCAAGGAACATAAGGTTTCTTTGCTTTTAAATCTCTCAAGAATTATAGAAAAAGCTATTTTGATCTCTGTGATTTCACATAGAAATAAAATGTCTGTAACCAAAGAGAAATGAGATTTAGTGATTTAATAAAATGTTGAAGTGCTAATTAAAACAAACTCCATGAAACTTGAGTTGTCTTTCTAAAATTCATTGCCTCTTTCTAAAATCTATTAATGTTCATTAATTGCTCCCAAAACAGAGAATAGAACTCTCATTGCTTTTGGTGTTCTTTCTTTCATTTAATTAAACTTCAAGAATTAAAAGATTTCATTGTAATTTTACACAAACATACTAATTTCCTCCTATAAATGAATGTATTGCAAGTAGTGTTATAAGAGGCAAGAATTGTTCATGTTTAGGTTTATGGACAAGAATAGATGAAACATCACAAGTCCCTATGAGGAATGGGTTTGTAACAAATATTACAAACACAATTTTTGCTTCCCACTTACATTCTTTATAATATTTACAGGAATATTTATTATCTTTTCTCTTTTTCCAATCTTTTACTTCTTCCTACATTAGGAAATTTCATTAATTTTCAACATTTATTTTCAAATGAATGACAAAGTTTAAAGAACTCCGTCCTATAAATTTTAACACTTATAGCTTTTAAATATTTTAAAGCCGCTTTAAACCTTCATTTGCAAATTCTGTAACTCATTCTTTCCTCTTAGTTAATGTTCTCACAGCCAATTTGATACCTCTATTTGAGGTAAATCCACTAATCATTCATTTGAAAATTCAGTGAATCTTTCTTTTTCTTTTAGTTAATGCTCTCACAGCCAATTTGATATCTCTACTTGAAAAAAATATACTAATTGAGATAAATCACTCAGTATACCACAAAAAAATCAGTATTTTGAAATGTATCTTATAAGCCTGATAGAGATTGTGTTTCATAGTGTATCATGTTCTCTTCAGTAACTTTCTGTAAATACTTTGGAGGTGAATATTAGTATGAAATATGTGTACACTTAATATGAAGCTAAAGGCACTAAAATAACTACAGGCCAAACATTTTTTCTGACTACTTACAATTAAAAATTTACAAGGATGCACCAACATGCGTTGCAGTAAACACTACGGAAACAGGACCTGCTTGGTAATCAATGATTTGAGGATAATCATTCATCAGCAATGCATTGTATTATTCGATTTAATAATTATGCAAAAGTAAAGCACTTTTATAATACACGATAATGATGAATGATCGTTCACACAATATGCTTGCTACATTAATTTTTTATTATAAATGTTCCCTGATATTTCTTTAAAACTTTTATACACAGCTATTTTAGGATATCATTTTTACATGTACATGTTTAAATAACTGTCCTCTCTTATTTACAACATGTATATGTATAAAAGCTATGGTGAAACACTTATTTGCTTTTATATCGATATAAATACTCTGTAAATTCTATTAAACCCTAACAAAGAATTCTGATACTTTGAAAGTTTGTGACATAAGTTACAATTATATGCATGTAAAACTACAATTTGGAAATATCTGTGGCATGATGTATCCAGAAAATCATGTATGGCACAACAAGGTTATTGTTCACAGTATAAATGCCATTGGTAAGCTGCAGAATGAGATCATGTGATGAATTGAGTATTCCTCTGCTTGTCATGCACAGCAGACACAGCCGCAATGCAGTGCACTCAATCTTTATACCACACGTCAGAGTATTGTCGAATGGCTGGAAAATCTGCCCGCACAGCAGACGCAGAGCAGCCACATACCAATCACTCTTTGCCATGAACACAAACGGCCTACACTAAATTCACAAGCGTAGCGGGATTCTGGGAAGAGGTCTTTTGTCCAATAAAAACGTCTGTATATTGGCACCTACGAAAGAAAACTCAAACAAAACTTATGGAGTTTTGAAACATCTTTTATGTTTCTATTTAGAGAAACGCTATACATCATTTGATCCCTTTACAAAGGACCACATGAAAAATTGCCTCAATGGAAACTGCTCAATTTTTATGCAGTTTCACTACCAGGAAAAAAAAAATCTTTACAACGAATTAAATTATCTACAAATGTTTCCTCTGACATACGAAAAAAATTACAAGAATGTTCACATCAACCCTAAGTCTTTTTTTTACAAGCATTCTTTTTCATTTAAAAACAATGAAGGGATGGTCAGGCATAGGAATTTTTAAAACTCCCAAAAATAGTGAGGTCCCATTCTTGTGTTGCGTATGTAGTCTTGTATAAACAGCCAAATTGTTAAAAGGTGACATAACACAATGTAATCAGCATTATGGACCATTACAGTTTCTAATATAAAGCATAATATTACCAATTACTCTATGACAATGGCATAATCTCAAAATTATTTAATTGTCCGTCCGGTTCCTCAGGGAAGAACTTTCTCCGCCACCCCTCGGGAAGTCGGGCGCAGGGCTGCAGCAAGTTTGGATGTGTGTATAAGTAACACATTGACCACAGCCTTGTTAAATGCGTTTGTTTATTATCTCACCATTATATCTTAAATATATACTCTCGAGATTATGAAAAGTTTGCATGACAACACAACACAAGGCAGCACCTAAGTAAGCAACTAAGAACAATTTAAATGTTACCACGCTTTTCCTTATATAAAGACCAAATGACATGTCCTTTTTGTGAACTGGTAGAATTTCACTTCATAAAATTACCATGATAAGTCATTTTGAAAGACATTTAGTTTAAGTTGTAAACAAAAAATACCTATCTGTTCACCCAAAAATATGACAGAGATTGCTCACTCACTAAAAAAAAGTATTTTTCTTGTCTTGATTTTTATCCTTAGAAAACAATCACTGCTTATATATTTCTCTTAATTTGCTAATGATCTTATCTCCCTATTCAAAAGAAAGGATTTGGTCATCGACAAAAAATCTTTCAAAAAATGAATTTTTGCAATGATTCTTTTCTTATCTTGACCGAAGTGCACAGATAATCAAGTCCATAACTTAAGTCCGAGTGTGATATTCAATTACATACTTTTCTTCTCGTAATAAAATAAATTAGCACTCGGACGCACACAAGTTCTATATCTTATCAGTCACAGTCCACACGATGAGTCGGGTAAGCACACGTGTCTCTCGAGGTCCCGCTGCGGGCCTTCCACAGAGCCTGTCTTTGCGAGCGCGGCGCGCCGTTCGCTCGCTTCGGAGGAGGAGGTGGA